CCGCATTAAATAAATTATGTAGGTATCCTTTCATCTAAGAGAGGCCTATGATAATGACAGTGGGTGCTACAGTTTGGTGCTTTTTGGAGGATCACTTTCAAATGGTAATATAGTATTATCCTATTAACAAAAATAATAATAAAAAGTTCAGTTTAAGCTGGAACTGCCCTCGGACCAATCTATTTTCATTCCTCAATCTTAAATGAAGCAATAGAAGTTAAGAGAGGCTATGTAACAAAGTCACGTTAGTTAGCAACAAAAGTAGAAAGAAAACCCACATTGTCAAGTTCCCTTTTGACAGCCCTTTCAGAACAGTATGGTATGTGTATTGCCCGTGTCATGTAGGAAAGAGGGCACCCCTCTGTTATGCCTCATCTGTGTAGGCAACAAATGAGTGAGGTATTACTAACACTACACAGCATATCAACTCCAACTCTTAGGAGCTTGGCAGGGCTCTGCTTCTGTAGAGCTTCTCTCTTTACCATCATGTGATATTCTTTCTTCCTAAAATTTTAAATGCCACTTTGATGTGACTGATTAAATAATGTGACCTTCCTATAAAGCCCATACATCAAATCATAGCTTCTGAGTGAAAATACTTTCACCTCTGAAAATACTAGAGGAAAGTATCACACAACCTCCTCGCTAATATGCTCTCATTAACAAAAGTCCAGTCAAGTAAGAATTTTTTCCTTAACAAAAGCCTCTTCTGCAACGGCTTTGTTTAATTTTGCCTTGGTCTCAACAAAAATGAAGAACAATTCATCATCAACCTCTACGTAAAAACATGAGCACATTGAAAAACCACTATTAAAGCATTCTTTGGACAGTTTAATTTTATCTTTTTAAAAATGGTGACAATGCAGAGTTTGTTTTAGGATCATCTGATAAATATCTTAATAAGATATATGCAAAGTAATTTATTTCAGCAATACTATTTACAAATAGTGCTCAGACTGCCTGGCTTCTCTTCTCTCCAGATACTGGGCATTTTGGTTTACTCAAAATTCAAATTATGGTGCCGAGGTTAAATAATGTCTTCACCTGGACCAGAGAAAATTTATTACAGTATAATTAGGCATGTGTCTGGTCTTTGTCTGTGGTTTCAACTTGGCCTTAAAATACTCTGCTCTATAAAGTGATATTTTCATTTTGAAAATAAAAAATATATATATCTTTGGTTCAAAGAGACTTGTACCAGTGATGTGCTTATTTGTGGGGGATAATGTGAATTACAATCGAGGCAGCAACAGAATGGCCAGAAACAAACAGTAAGCAGGTTCTAAGACTTTTTACCAAGGCCTAGATAGAGGTGAGGAAGGAGTGTGTATTTGGCCAGAATGTAGGTGTATATGTTCATTAAAACATCAAATTTCTTTGATCTTCATTAAGATGAAATCAAATTTCATGACGATCAGAAAATCTGACTGGATATTGATAACATCACAGGAACTGCCAGGTCAGGTTCCATGTATATTGTTGGTTACATATGTTTTTGATAAATAAAAATGTGGAAACATTAATATTACTTAATAATGCAGTTTAGATTTGAAGATAATCTTGAGCTAGGAGTTTCAAGGAATTTAGGAATTTATGACAGTATGCATAGAATTTAATGTAATAATAGAAGAGTATAAGTAGAAAAATGGTACTTTGAGTTATCAATAGTAATAAAAAACACCTCACTCTTCATTTTAGTCCAATAACTAATATTTAGAAGTAAGAAAATGTACAGTAAGCAGAACTTACACAATCAAAATATTTAAAAACTTTAACACAAAAGGTAATACCACTCTATTTTCAAAAACTTGGAATAGTTTTTACTGACAGTGAATTAGGACATTTGGTTCAGAAGAGCATTTGTTTGTAATCATTCTGTTTGGGGTGGTGTCTTAAACATGAATTTTGTCCTTTCAATGATATTAACTCTCATTTCTTAGGTTAAGTTTTTTGGGGAAAAAATGGAAGCTGAGAGGTTTGTCTTACCTAGTTTAAATAATCCATTCAGGTCCCAGCGAATACCAGGCACCCCCCTACTGAGTAACTGGGTAATAGCTATTGTTGAGTGTTAGTCCTACTCTAAAGGTTATGTTATGAAAAACTATGATTTTTATCTATGACATAAGGTTAAATTAAATCTACTGGGAAAAGTAATGTCAAGCTGGATTATATTTCAAAGTATATAATAAAAATAGATGTTTGGAACCCAAGACTTACTTCAATGCTTTTCTGTTATATTTTTAGAAATTAGAATAACTAGCAGTTTGCTATTTTTAACAAACTATTAGTTTTTCACTCAATACAAATAATTCCGCTTAAAAAAATCTTTCTAAAATATTATGTTAAAACTAATGTTCAACAAAAGCCTAACGCCCAACAAAAACTAAATTAAGATCTGAACTGTAAACTAATTTACCCCTTAAGATATAATCACTAAGACGGTAAAGTGTTTGGCTTCTTCTCAGTGGCGGGTAGTGGTGGTAACCATCACCAGCATCCACATATCCGCTTCTAAGACAATTTCACACACATTTATTTCCTGTTTCTCGTAGCAGCCAGTTTAATAGAATACTTTCCCTAGGTGAGTGTTACTGGGGTTTTGGATTAAAATGAACAGTGGTTGATTACTCAGGCCGCCCAAATTAGGCTACAGCAAAGATGATTTGAAAATTTCCCAAAGAAAATATCATATGTGCAACATGATGAATAAAGTTGACACAAAACACTGCATTGTTTCCACCAGAACATTCTGGTCTTGACACTTACTACCTGTGTGACCTTGGGCAAGTCACTTACCCTCTCTGGGTCTCAGTTTCCTTACAGTAAAATGGGAATAATAATAGCATCTACCGCTCATGACCGTTAACATGGTTAAAAACGGAGAGTTTAGAACAATGCTTGACACATCAGAAGCCTATAGTATATGTCAATTGTTGTAATGGCTACTTTTTCAGAGTACACATACATACATACAAACAAATGGAATTAGGGATCACGGAAAAGTTATCATGCTTATTTACCAAAATAATATTCTTGTTCTTTTTTACCTAGACACTGGAATATATTAAATATAAATGAACTGTCCACTTGGAAACTTTTATTTTAGTCCCTGTGTCTCAAGATACTGATGTTATGCATTGATATTCTTTATTACTGAATGTCATTAAATCAATCAACTCCCTCCAAAGTAATCAGAAAACAGACAAACACAGCATCCTAAGTTTATTTTTCTTATCAATCAAATAAAACAAGCTCTGTAACCATTAATGGTAATGATGCTTATTTAGAGTTTTTCAGTTTGTAAAACACTTTCAGTGCAACAGAGCTCCTCCTATCTCATTTTCTCTTACTTTCAAAAGATTTTTCTGCATAGAGAGCCACAATTTTCACTGTATTCAGACAGTAGCACCGTTACTTTTGCTCATTTTCTTATGAGTAGTTGAGGCAGTGAAGAGAAATGAAGAGACTCTTTTTCTCTACATGAATTTACAGAAAAACTAGAGAAATGATAATGTTTCACAAAGGCAATGAACATGATTAAATTTCATAAGTAAAAAGACTACATGGTTACTGCCCTTTTTTTTTTTTTTTTTTTGGTCAGAGTTCTACGGAAAATTCCAACATTTTCTGTCTGAGGAAGACTCACTCCTCAAGCTCTGCCCTAGTCTTGGAAGCAGAAACTCCCACAGAACTTTGTTTTTCTAATATAGAATTCTCACACACGAAATCTTTATTTTGCAAACCAGAAATACGAAAGTTTGACAAAGTAATGAAGGAAGTAAAGTCAACAGTAGGTAGTTTATTTTCCTTTACCTTCAAGAATCAAGATCTAAATACAGAACCACAGATTTTTAAGCGCTGGAGGTACTAGGCTTCCGAGGTACTTTACAAACAGCAAATATAATCATAGTAAGAAAAAGAAGAAGAAAATGAAGTGATTTTGAAGTTGTTTTTCAAAATACTGTTATTAAGGGTAAGCAAGGGAAACACCATGTCAAATATAACAGCACAGAATTTGGAAGTCCATTTCATTTATATTCATTTCTCATGGGAATCAATTTGTAGTTTTACAAATTCCACTTTTATTTGCTCTTATTTTATCCTTTAGGGATATATGATAGGACTTATCACCACACTGGTCTTTATTGCAAAGTAAAACACACCTCATAAATAGAACAGGATCCATGCTAACTCCAAAGGTTCATATCAGCCCCGTACGGCAAATGCTTGATATTTAGGACCCTCTCTGTGCAGGCATGAAGCTATCTTTGTTGGCTGCCAAGATACAACCTCTGCTCTTACTATCATAAATGAGGCCAACTCCAGTGACACTAAACCTGGGCCACCGTTTTTACCTAATGTTCCACTCATCATTAAGCATCACTGAGAGCTATCAAGTGGCAGACATTCCTTGGCATTCAGGAGCTTGTTGTCCAATTAAAAATAATTTACTCCTAATCCTCTGGGACAGGAGCCCAAGAGCTTTGTTTTGTAAAACCAGGATTACAACATGGAACTCCACTCTGCCTTTAAAAATATGAACTTTGGGAAGAAAAAAGTTTACAAAAGAAATTCAATTAAGGATGAGAAGGCCATAAAAAAAGGAAAGAGCAGGAAAAGACTATAATTCACCATTAAAGAAAATTCTGGGAGACACACATGAAGAGAACAAGTATTTCATGTTAGGGAATGGCCTCTGCAGCAGAGTTCAAAATACGGCTCTGGTCCCTCCAGATGTCAGCCGCGAGTGATATCAGAAATGAACTCTATGATGTCAGTCTCAGGCTTCATGGAAAAGTGCCAGAACTTTTCAAGTACCCTTCCCAAATCCCCAATACATGTGGAACTGCCCCATGTGCCTGGATATACACTCATTTAAGCTCAAACATTGTGCGACAATCCTTTTAGAAGGTTCGACGAAACAGATAACCTCCTTTTTACACCAGTGAGAAATGTCCTTTAGTAATAAAAATGCTCAGTAAAAATGAAGAATTCCCTACCTTAAACGCATTAAGCTGTTGGTTGATTGTCTCCGTTTCCATTGCTACAGGGCCTTGAGACTCCTCACGTTCTTCGGCTTTCTGAAGTAGAGTAGAAAATTCCTTCAGTTTGCTATAGAATTCTCCAAGACGCTCAATTGTCCCTTCGACCTGCTCTTCTCTGGCTTGTGCTCGGTCCAGCAACTTGTTGCACTGTTTGCTTAAAGCCTCCAAGTCCCTTTTGATTCCAACAAGATCAGGAGAGGTTTCTTCTGTGGCCAGCATCATCTTGCAGGTTTTATTGGCATTGTCGTTGCTAGCTATGAGGGCTTCTAGTTTCTGCAGAAAGGCTGTAATAGCCCTCTTTTGCTGTTGCAATGTTTCTACATCTCTCCCCACTGGGGCCATGCTATCCAGTTCATCATCGAACTCTGCAAATTGAGAAAACATTTCTCGGATGGTATTCTGGAAATGCCCAATGCCTTGAAGCTTGGTTTCTAGGAACGAACACTTTTCATCGACCTGCTGACTTAATGCGCTATGCTCTTGGGCTAAGGTTTCTGCTTGTAATAAAACATCAGATGTTCCCTTTGAGTCTGAGGCTTCTACCACAAGGTCCTGCGCAAGTCCTTTGGCCAAATCTACCTGGTGCTTCAAGGTCTGAAGTGATTTCTGCTGAGTCTGCAACATGGTCAGGTATTTATTACTGTAAGCCTGGGGTCCTAGGGAATCATGAACATCTAGCTGTTCCTTTGCACACTGAAGCTGCCTTTTAGCTTCTTTGGACACTTCTTGAAATTCTTTAAACTTCTGGGCCATGTTCTCCAGAGAGAATTTCTTACTGTGAAGTTGTTCAGTGACCATGTCTACCTTCTGGTTCAGTGATTTATTCTCATCTGTAACAACCTCTTTATCTATCTCACAGACACTGAGCAAGCTATTGGCTGCGTTGTTTAGCAATTCTACCATCCCAAAGCGCTGGTCCATTTCCTTCTGCAGAGACTTTAACTTGGCAATAGAATTCTCTGTTTCAGTAGGATCCAAGCAAAATTTTATTTCCTCCAGGTTATTTTGACATTTGTCGATCCATGGCCGAAGCGTCTCTACATGTTCTTTATATTTGAGGGCTTTTTTCAATGAATCTTTTACCTTGTCTTCTCTCTCTTTTACCTGCTTATTAAGTTCATCCCAGTTGGTTTTAATTGTGTTAAGTTGTAACTGTAAGGCTGCCTTCTCAGAACCTTGTGTTTTTAATAATAGATTTTCACCTTCCACGATGGTTTTTTCATAAACACTAGACTGAGCAATCAAGGCTTGACTAAAGTCTTTCTGATATTTAATTAATGACTCCAAGACATCAAGTTTGGCTGATATAGGGTGAGCCTTGTTTAGCTCTTCTTTCTTTGTATCCAGCCAAGCCTGAAAATCTCTAGACATTTGCTGAAATTGGTGAGAGCTGGCACAGGCTGACTGGAGGTGCTGGACATGAGTCTCTAAAAATGAAAATTACAGACATGTTTACTTTACATCAAAATTCAGATTTAACCTATGAAAAGCCAGAAGTAAAACCCCCAAAATAAATGTACATGACTGTCTAAAAGCAAGGGCTGTAAGCACTGACTCTAAGAACTAGAGGAAGCTGAAGTTGCTGACAAAAGGGGGCAAAGGAGTAAGAAGAGGCAGGCACGACGACAGGAAGAGAGACGATCAAGGCAAAGAGGAGATGAGAGACCAATACAGATGATGGGGATAAGTGAAACTGCACAAAGGTGCAGGGTGGTAGAGGACAGTCACACACACTGCCCACTGTACTAGAGTCATCTCCATTCCAGTATGTGGAGGTGACAACTGTTCAAAGTTCTAAGTGTGCTGCTAAGTAGTCCATCTCTTATGAAATATGACTGTTTCGCTTTTATAATTTTATGAATCATTAAGGCAATATAATGGAGCACTTAGGGACAGCATGGGTTTGGATCCCACCTCAATCTCTCAGGAGCCAGAAAACCGTGGGCCAATGATTAAACCTCTAAGCCTCTGTTCCCCAAATGTAAACTGGCAACAATAGAAGTCGCTGTGGCCATTAAGTGACATGATGGTATGTGTGTAAAGTTCTTAGCTTAATACCTGTCACATAAAAGTATCCACAACAATAATAATAACCATAATCTTAATAGCTAATATTTATGATTAATATCATTTCAAAATAAGGGAGCAAGCCTAAATAGTTGCTTTGATCAATAAACAAATTCGATCAATTAAAAAACATAAATTGAGCATGGACTAGGTACAAGGCACCCTTGTTACTTTTCAAACAGGAAAAATGCAGCAGTCAAATGTGCTTTTCTTTGGCAGGCTCTTCAGAAGTCTAATTACTCACTACTGCTGCCTCTGACAAATACTGGCACATCTGTCACAGAATTGTGGCCACAGTAGGTAAGAGAGAAATATAGTGCCAAATGCTTCTCTTTCACACATTTCTCCAGAAATGCTTCCATGACAGAGTTAGACAACATAACTGCAGATGAAAAAAATGATGCAATCCTTTTAATAACTGTATTCATCTGTTGTTGTTTTTTTCCTGGTGAAATACGACTGTCACACAGCAAAAATATTTGTATCTTTTAAAAACCAATTTGGAATGCCTGACATTTTAATGGTCTTAATTAAGTGGATTTTCCCATCGGCGTCCCTCCATTATCTGTGTAGAATTAATTACTCTAACACTGTGAGAGCATGAACACAACAGCTCTCTGTGCTCGTGTGAGTGAGCTCCTCTTCACTTATGCTCTCAATGGGGGCAAACTCTCTTCAGGGGCCCAGATCACGGGCAACGGCTTGGAAATAGGCAATGCCTGATTTCTTTTACTAGGAAATACATGTGTTAAAAGAAGATAAACAAACCTGCTTTTTGTTCAATATCCTTAAATGATTTTAAGATAATTTCTAGTTGTCTACTAAGTTCTGCTTTCAAGTACTCCTCTTTAACCAGTGCTGACAAATCCTCACAGAGGGCCTGGGCCACTTGTATCTGCTTCATTTCCTGCTCTACTTCCTGCTTCATTTTTTGGGCCATTTCCAATTGTTGGTTCATAGCATCGGGATGTGTGCTCACAGCCACACTGCTGCTGAGTTTATTATCCAAATCACTCAGTTTATCAGAAAGCCTTCTCAGCAGGCTTTGATACTGTGTGCTTTTAACAATGGCTTGGTCAATCCAGTCACATCTGTCACTCAACTGTCCCGTTAGGCTATCCCATTTTTGGGTCACAGCTGCCAGTTGCTCTTTCACAATCCCATGGAAAGAAGGGTGTTCACCAGGTCGGCTCAGAATCCCCTGACCAGCTGCTGTGAGCTGCTCATACTGAGGTTTCCGAGTGTCAAATTCTTGCAGCAGAATCTAAGGTAAAGAAGTAATGAGGGTAAACAAACACAAATTATCAGATAATTAATTAGAGAAAACATAGCTTTAAGTTTTTAAAGAGACAGAAATGCTACTTATTTATCTAGTTCTCATTTTTTATTTTGTTACCACTTTCCTAGTTTTTATTTTGAAGGCAGTGCAATTATCCTAAAGTAAATCAAAGAGCTATAGTGCTCCATAGAGATCACATTTTGCCCAAAATCATATCCCCCAAAGGGAAAAATGAAGGGAGCAAAAATCTTCAGTAGTTTGGAAAAAAGGAAGAAAAATTTACGTACGAATTTTCATATACAAAAGGAAATACTGCTATTGGACAAGTTCATGTCCATATCACACTAACAACAAATTTATTTTTCCCTACTTGTACTTTTCTCTTTGTAGGTTTTTAAAAACATTCTACAGCATTTTACACCAAATGAAATGCATAGTGATAACAGTGTTAGAATATATGCATTCATGGTGTACTGATCTACAAAAAAAATTTTTTAACATATGATTTATTGACGTTTACCATTCTCATTGTAATGGTTTTAGCCAATGGATCATGTTGCTCAGAATGTCCAGGCTCAGCATCGGCTCTCGTTATGAAATGAATGATCCAAAAATTTCCTTTTTTTAATACATTTTATCTATCTCTGAGAGACTACCCAAACTAGGTGCAATTATTTCTCCTAAATGTTTATTTACAGCTTTTGTTTTCATTCTCCTCAGATTAAGAACATACGTGAATTTGTATTTTACGAGTGCAGAATCAGCCTCATTGCTCTAATACTACTACTCAGATATAAATACTACTACTCAGATATATAATACTACTACTCACTGAAACAACAACCATGCTTCTCCTATTACGTCTGACTTAAATTTCATGGATTTTTTTCCCCTTGTGGATTTATGCAATTATAATTAGAGTAGTCTAACTAACCCTCTGGGGTTCAAGGTTTCTGCTTCCCTTATTCTTGCTCCTCTTCTTATCCAGTTCCGCCCCCACCTACCCCCCCTGTCAAGGCTATACTGCATGAGTTTTATAAGTTTCATTACCTACTACCACAATCAAAATAAATAAAACCTCAAAGGACTAATTTCTAAACAATAAAAAGCATATACCACCTTCTCATAAAAATGTTATTACTTATGCAATCACATTAATACTTCTAAGAAGGCCCTTTATAACAGGGTCTGCACAAGCCACAGCATGACTGAAATGGCTAAGGGCTGAGTAGACTACTCTGGGATGCCTCACAGCTTTGGTTCTCTGAGGTTTCCCTCTAACCTCAGGACCTGTATCTTATGAGCATCTGAAACGTTACAAATACACTCCAAGGCAGTTAAAGCACATACTGCCCCCCAAAGCTAATATACTTAAAATGAAAACATTTTTTTTTTTGGTCAAGTCGAGTGATACTCACCTGCACCTGCTGCCTTTGTGTGTTTAGCATATTTGGGTCAATTGACAAGGGCCCAAGCACACTGACCATCAGTTCTTTTTCCACAAGCCACTGTTTTAACTGAGCCTCTACGGTCTGGAATTGAGTTAGATTATTAGAAGATTCTTCGAGTTTTTGTTGTCTGTCAACTGTTAATTGATTGAGTTCTTGCCACCTGGAATCTAAAAGAAAAAGATAAAAGATAAAACTGGTCTTTGTTACCTATGAAGACTGTAGGATGTGACTTAATATGTAGTGGCTATCATTCTATCTTTACTACTCATCTTTCATAGTTGGTTAAAGTCTAACCTAAGATAAGTAATTGCATTTATTGATACAGATTTTATGATTCTGATGGTTGTGTGTCAACTGAAGTAAAAGAAAAGTAAATTTGAATTTAATTTTAGAAGGTAATGTAGAGGATGAAATATTCCTTAAAGCAAACAGGATCCTGAGCACCCTCAATCCTTCTAGAAGTCCTATAGACTCTGTTAATTCAACTATAACTGACCTGTCAGAATGATGAACATTAATCACTTTCTTTAATATCAAATTTTCAATGATCAGTTCAAGGCCAATGACTCTCAAATTTTTATATCTATGCCCAATCGTCCTTAAAGTTACACTAGAAATTCTCACTAACCCTTTAAACTCAACATAAAACTCAACATTATATTCCTATCAAAACTGGTGGATTTTTTTGACTTTTAGATTTCTTTCAAAGGTTATCCTCGCTCCCAGGTCACTGAGATGCAATCTTTCAGAATGTTCTTTCATGACTCTCCTAATTTTTAAACCTATCCTTACATTTCCAATGCCCTCAGTCCATTTCAGTCCCATCGTGGTTTTCCCAGACCACTGATTCTCAAACTTGAGCTGCATTAAAATTGCCTGGAAGAATTGTTAACACAGGTTGCCAGGCCCCACTCCAGAGTTTCTGATTCAGCAGGTCTGAAGTGGGGCCTGAGATTTTGCATTTTTAACAAGTTCCCAGATGCTGCTGCTGCTGCTGCTGCTGCTGCTGCTGCTTCCAGGAGCATGCGTGAGAACTACAGACCTAGACTGTCAGTCTTCTAACTGATTTCCTTGCTGTTAGTGTTTCTCAGCTGCAAACCATTTGGTTCTAAACTAATTTCCCTTTACGAAAAAAAATCCTTTTAAACATGTCACTTCTATGCTGAAATACTTCAATAACTAACCCTCGCCACCTACATGATAAAATCTGCAGACTTCTGCTTGATGTTCAGAGCTTCCCACAAACTGGCCCTAGTCTACTAATCCTAAAGGGTTTGTACTTTCGAGATGAAATCTCTAACCTAGCCCTGTTGATCTTACCACTATCACCCGAACAAGCTTCTGCTCACATAGGCGCCACACCTGACATGCTCTCCATATATCCCATGTATCCCATCTCTCCATGTATCCCATCTCTACCCTTTCTTCACAATTCCTTTGGATTTTATCCTCTGCTAGGAAGCATTTCCTGTTCTCCCTACCCTTAAGATGGCCGGCTTCTAAAGCCAAGAGTTATCAACTGGTACTTGAACACAGTAGTCATTCAATAAACATTCACTATGGGTGTAATTAGTTGATCTGATGGATTTTTTTCACCTAGCATAATACACTAATGGTTTGATTTTAATAGAGCTCAATCATGAAAACTTATCTAATGGCATCATTCTAGTCAAACACAATTTGGCACATTCTAGTCAAACACAATTTGACAAAATAATGCAACTAAAACAACACATTGAGAGTGAGAAATATCAAAATCTTATCAGGAAACTTTTTTGAAATACACACTCCTCACTCTCACCCCTATTCTAAAATGTCTTGATAATACTTCCCTAATTAATTCTGACATCCCAGGTAAGAGCCACTGAATTAGGGACAAATTCATTATAATGCAACAGGAGTCCCTTAGTTGGATTAAACAGACCTTTGAATATTAAGATCCCTTAGGATAACCTTTTTCAAACTAAAATATATTTATAGATTTCTAAATTTATCACAGCATATGTGGCTCTAAAGGAAAGATAACCTTTAGCTAAATACAATGAAATGACTTAAAGTAAAATAATTCTTACTATCATCATATCAAACACGTAACCCTTACTATATGCCAGGTACTATTTATCTGAGTGGACACACACACTAAATCACTGACTTCTCCAAACAAAACTATGAAGTAGAAAAAATTAGTATCATTGCCTTACACTCATTTTCCTTATTACTATAATAATGAAAAAGGGGTGATAAGATAATAAGGTTCATGAAGAAAGTTCTGTACCTATGAGGAATAATTTATGTAGGGATAGAATCAATATGGGAAGATAACTCTGGATAAAGAATCAATACCACCAGATTTCTGTGGGGAGCTACTTTGTAATGCTGACTGGGGAAGAGAAAAGCATAAAGGGCTGGAGGACTTGCAGAAGGAACTCCATGAAGGAGAAGGGAGCCAACCTTTACCAAATAAATTAAAAGGATGTTTAATAATGTACAGAATAAACAATAATGAAAATATTACTCAATGCGCAGTATTTTATTAACTAGTATTTAACTTCTTCATAAAAATGAATTTAGTTACTGTATTTGGCAAAAAAATAAATAAATAAAATCCCACAAAATATACCAAGTCAGCACAATATAATTTGAAATGGCACTTTTAGATATGCAAAAATAGATTCTGAAACATTAAAGAAATCCCAAAATAAGTGAGGCTATTGGATAATTTTTTTTTATATAAAGATGATGATGATGATAAAAAAAAATGAGGTTCTGTTCATGGTGTCTGGTTTAAGTAACATAACATACCTATTTCTGTCAACATCCGTTTCCATTTGGGGGCCTCAGGAGTATCCGGGTTCTCCTCCAACAGCTCCGTCAATTTGTCTTTCAACTCCTGTACTTTGTTTACATTTTGCTTCAGTTCTGCCTCAAATGACTAACAAAGAAAAAAAATAACAGAGTAAGTACACTAAAGTATGTCAATATCATAAGACAAAAACACAATTATGATAGAGAATTTTTTTCTCTAGTATAACCAAAAGAGGAGAAAATCCACTGTTAAATGCTGAAGTGGGTGAGGACCTGGAATCAGCAGTTAATTATTTTGTTTTCCTCTTCTTAGCAGTCTTCAACTATCTAATAGAGGAATTGAAAAGAGAAACACTGTAGCTATGGAGATAATGACTCTTATCCCTATTACTTGGGAAGTGTCTCATATTATTCTCAAACAAATCCCTTTGGAAAATTGGAAGATGACATCAGTAAGATTGAAATCACTAAGAAAATCAGTCTTGATAAAGGCTGCCAGATTTGAGAATCAACTAGTGAATAAGGACTTTTCTGTATGACACAATATAGAGTTCAAATATAGGTTAGCAATTTGCAGACATTTTTGATGATTGCCACAATGTAAAACCATCTTCCCAACTTTGACAGTTGTAGAAAGAAATATTGTCTATTAAAGAAAGGGAAAGCATGAGCTCCCCTATTTTATACTCAACAGAACAGATCCCTAATACTCTTAGCTCTTAAATCATTTCCAGTAGTTGACTGGTTAAAATCCCAGACTTAAATTGATTTAAAAGTGGCAAAGTTGCTTATACCCAACAGTTCACTAATCTTCATAATGTCTGTGTGCAAAAACAGGTGACTGCTATCACCAATCTCTACAGAAAGGCACACTAAACAAAACTGGCAAATTATTTGCTGAAGATTATAGGGCAAGAAATCAGAACAGGGCTCCTGACCACCAGAGCTCGGTTCTAAACACTAATCAGTTCTCTTCCATGTCTTCAGTAAATACACCCACAGAGTATACCTTATTCTGCTCAACTTGAGTCTTCACAGCTTCAGTATCTGTAGGTGTAGGAGCTTGATGCCATTTTGTTGCAGTTTTGTTCATCTTCTGTAACCACTGCATCATTGCACTTGATTCCTCCTGAGCCTTTTGCAATTTGGTGAGTTTAGTATTTAGCTCAGCTATTTTGTCCTTAAGTAACAGGCCAAGATCTTCATAACCATGGCTTATGTCAGTCATATCCTTTTTAATAGATGTTAATCCTAAGAGTAAGGAAAATGATTATACTGACACATTTTCAAGATGTCTAGAGTACAGCTCTAGAAATAGAAGTGCTTTACACGACATTTCCTTTAATTTTGTCAATATTAGCCTACCATGATTAAGTCACAGGATTTTTAGAAGTAAAAGGTTAGATCATCTTATAATGCTATTTAATGACAAATAATTTAGGAGCATTGCACAATACAAGCGAAATAAAACAGATATTTTAACTAGATCAAAAAACCAAAACCATGAAATATTACTTAATTCCTCAAGCATCAAACTCAAGAAAATAGCTCAAATAATATCTCAAGTGACAAAATATCTCAAATTAACCAAAAAGAAGGAAACATAAGCAAATGCCAAACTGAGGATTTCACTAATTTCGGATGAACAAAATTACATGAATGTTACATAAATATGACATCTATGGAGAATGAGACTATTATGTTAATACCACTTGATTTCTAGTTTGAAATTTCATTATAACTACTATTCACCTCTAAAAAGATTTTCTCTCTCAATTGTATGGTGCCGGTGGGTACTAGATTTATCAGGGAGATCACTTCGTAAATTATATAAATGTCTAACCACTGTGTTGCACACCTGAAACTAATACAAAATAATATTGAATATCAACTGTAATTGAAGAAAATTAAAATAAAAAAATAAAGTTCAAAGCACCAAAAAAAAAAAAAAGTTAAGGAAGCTCTTATTTAATGCAATTGGCAGAGAGAAATGCATCTTCTGATAATTTATGAAGGAAACCTGGAACCAATTGCTGAGATGTTAGTCTCTGGGCTTATAGGTAAGTGAAAATCATTACTGTCTCTTTTCCCAGTACACCGTAAGCTCCATGAGGGCAGAGATAGGTCTTCTTTTTTTTTTTTTTTTTTTTTTTTTACTCAACAGTGATATTACAGTAGAAATGAAAAATATATGAATAAATGTTATGCATTGTTGAATTTTAAAAAACATATATAAACTTTAAAGTAAAAAATAAATAAGATTTTCTCTCTCAAAAAGGAATACCAAATTATTCTAATCATTAAAGACTTAAAATTAACATCACCTTTATTTGCCAAAATTTCCTGAGTATCTGTGGCTGTTCCTTCACCATTTAATATTACTCCACCTGCAAAAATATTAACACCGAAGTAATCATAGATTTCCATAGTATTTCTATACATTAATAATAGATGACATTAAATCAAACCCCTGTAAACAGTAATCATTTAAACACGTTATTATTAATTTGAAAATGTAAAATATTAATTAAATTTCAAAGGTCCAAAATTTAAAAATAAAGTTATATCCTCTCTTCTTTATAAAATTTATTCTTAAAGTAGTAACATGATCTCTTTAAAAAAGTTTCAGTAAATTTAGATTACATACATTACTCATTAATTATAAATTTATTAAACAATTTTGTAATAAAGTTTCTTTATTGGTAAAATTATTTTAGTGACGAAGTCTCTGAAGCTCAGAAGTCACTCACATGTGTTGCATTAAGCACAAATGACTGACAGACAAAAAAAATTCTATCTTACTTAAGGAAATGAAAATTGTCTGGTATAGGTACACGGTGTTATCATGGATTTAATGGAGGCAGAAGATTAAAAATACATGAAAGAAGTTAAAAGTTAAAAAAAAAAAACCTATGACTAAACTCACATTATATGAACACAAAGAAGAAAGCACAATGGCTAAGAGTGCCTAAACTCTGTCATATGACTCACCTGGATTTAAATCTCAGCCTCACTAATTACTAGCTGTGTGACTGAGCAAATTAATTACCACTTGACTAAAGTGATGGGGATAATACCTTCCTGTGAGACCACTGTAGGAATTAAAAACAGTTAATCTATTGCCTAGAAAATAGGAACTGCTCAGTGAGCAGTAATTCTTATTTCTCTATAATTATATAAACATCTAGCATTGGTATCTTTTTCATAATCAGAATACTAAACTAATAATTAGATTTTCTTATTTGAGTATGCATTGGCTACCTATCTAAAACACAAAGATACTTCCCAAAACTAACCACACGGGAACAAGCCTAAACAAACAAAAACATTTAAATATCTGAATCTTAATCTAAGTTTCGTCCCTTTTTCAAAAATCATATACAATGGCATTTCAGATAGAAACAAAAATATCTTATAGATACTCAAGATTAATTCCTACCATGTTTAGAAGTTATCAAGAATAGAAAAAAATAATTTTTACTTATTGCAAATATAAAGTGGACATAAAGAACTAAAAACAACAGAATTCCTTTTCTTAAAAAAAAAAAACTTGACATTTCAGGAAATCTGATTAGGAGAGAAAGGAAAGATCATCACACCACATATAATATGAGTATTCCCTGAAATGGGATTAATAGAGCGGAATAAATGGTTGAGAGAGGCCCAGCTGGAACATCAGTCTCACAATAGGGACAGCTGTAGGGGGAGCAGAGGGAGGAAGGGGCTGGAGAGAGCAGATAAACCACAGAGGATATTCAGAAACTCTCAGAATAAAGAGATGAGATCTGCCTTCTGTCTATCCTTGCAATTAAAAAAAATAACAACAACAACAAAAAACCCTCACATTGACGATATAAATATGTTTCAAAATTAAAACTATACCCACAATTTAAATTAATTTTAGAATCATTATTTATACATGACTCTCCCTTTCTGTTGAGAAAAGTGGTTCGACCATGACTAGGATTGTGATTTAGATATACTGGTTAACATATAATTGTTTCCTTTGGGAATAGTGTAAGTTATAAAAGTAGATGGGAATAAAATGAGAGGTCCACGTTACAGAAAATAACCTGTTTCCTACTCTCACTTCTTTCCCAAGAGCCCAGACCCATTTCTTTATCAAATATTTCAAATACGATTTCAACATCTCCATTAATTAAGGTAAAAAACAAACAAATTAGAATCTGATCTTTCTCTTTCCTCAGTATAATGCTCCTTATTCCTACATATTAATTTGGCTACATTTTAATTGCAGTCTTTAATAAAACATAAGAGAGATTTGAAATTTGACTAGTACTGATACATTTCCATGGCAGCTTTTAGTGTGTTAATAGATGCCATCTTTCTTGTCACTTTCCCTTTGTATTTCTGATTATTTTATGCATTAATTTAAAATTTAAAAAATAAGATACACAAAATTAACATGAACGGACCCAATTCTTATGGTCTTTGTGCCATGAGCGTAAATAAAGCACATACCTGATTTAACCGCTGCTATTGCCTTTGCAGGGGTAGTCACAGCACTTATTAGGTTACACAGTGAGATGCCACTGTTGTTTACTTTCTGAATCTCTGGTGTTTTTAAACTCCACTCTTCTTGTAATTTCTTGAGGTATAAAAACACATTATTTTTCAACCTTCGTCATATTTTCAAAGTAACACATTATAGTCCAATTTCTTAAACATATCTCAAAACAATGATGATTGTGGGTCCCGATTTGCGGGGTAGCGGGTGAAAGAAAACAGCACCATCTCTATTTGTTCCAACAGCCCAGGTGACTGTTAACACTGTTAGCAGTGAGAAGTGAAGTATGGTCCATCCTGCATTCTGCCCCTAGCCACAGTGGAAGTCAGGCTATATTCCCAGCTGCCATAGGTTCCAAAGCAACTGTCAACTGTAAGTCTGGAAAACTGTACTAGGTAATAGTCAAGTTACAAGAAGAAAAGTACTAGAAACAATTTAAAAATGGGAATTCAGAATTCCATTTAATAGTGAGTTTTAAACATCAAAATTTCAATGAATTTTTAAAAACACACACCCCCACAAATTTGGAGTGGAAAAATTGGCATAACTGGTCATATGTCAGATGACAAAAAGACTTGCACACTATTTGTAGATGTTCCATTAACTTCTATCTTCAAATACTGGTTATGGTGATATATCAAAACTATAGTAAAACGCCAAGTTGAAGAGATGGATCTTCTACTTAATATTATGAAAAATGGTAGAAAAATAACTTAAATAGAGACTAGGTGGGGAAGGAAATTTGGATATTAGAACAGCCAGCAGCTCACTAATACATCTCTTTTTAAAAAAGCAAATTAACTGAAAGTTTGTGTTCTTCCTCAAAAGGATCAGTTAATCCCACATCTTGATTTTCAAATATCACCAAAATATATTGTACATACATAAGGATCTAACTTACGTGATATTAAATAAAAGGAAACCACAATTAGTCTTTTAACCTCTCATTACTGACACAGGCAAAGGAGAAATTCGTATCAGGTACAATGATTCACCTTAGTTTCTTCCAAAGATTTTCCTAAATCTTCTGCACCAAAAGAAGGCTGCACAATGGGAACTCTTTCCATTGTTTCTTTTATCCATGACTTTAATGATTTAACAAGCACTTGGAAAGCATCCATCTGTTCTTGACAAGAAGATACAGCTTCTTTTCTAGATAATAAAAATCAGTGACAGATTTAAGGCACAGAAAGGAGATGCTCCAAAGGACTAATTACTAATAAATAATTATTCTCATATCAGGCTTAATATTAAGGGGAAAAAATTTCCCCCACGTACATTCTAGCTCTTTGATACAGGAGGAAAGGTTTCATAGGTGGTAAGTAAAACCAGCTAAAAAACTATTTATTTATTCCCCAGAGGCAAGGTCTGCAGATAAAGAAACAAGTAAAGAAATCTGTAATCCATATGTAAAGGCACTCTATAAAACGACATCAACTCTAAGCCTATATAAACAGTTTTAACATTATTTAGATTCAGCGAGCTTTGATCTGTCCACTTTATGTGGGGCTTTCTGCCAGCAGGCACAGAACCAGAAGGGAAAGTCGCACATCACCGACATGAAAACTACGCCACCTAGTGGTAGCCATGCTATACTACAGGCACTTTAGTGAATGGATAAAGCCAAGAGCTTTAAAGAACAGATTTCAGTTCCCAAAAAACGAGGTGAGACCTAGTAACCGAAAAGTTTAATGGGTGCCTCCCACATAGATACTCAGGAAGCTCTACAGTTAACTATATGAATTTTCTGTACCTCAGCACCATGGAGGGAGGGCACATGCCCAGAACATGAACAGTTGTGAAGACAGTTATATTTGGAACTGGGATGACATGTGGATGACATGTGCACATGTGCAAGTGTGTGGAATATTGGCACGTAAGAGTCCACTGCAGCTGGATTAATTACTGATGACTATGTAGTTTTAAAATTGAATCCATTCGAAAGAAGAAAAACCTAGAGTTTACCTAGGAAGATCAAGACTATTTCTTCTGTGCAATATTTAAATTAAATATTACACGACAAGATGGAAAATGTAGCTCTGTGAGTAGTATAGACAGCACTCAAAAGTTTTAGGTAGAAAATTATGAAGAAGTAAAGAACAGCTGGAAGAGAAGGAACTATTTTCTATCTTTTGGGAGTCTTCCATATAAACTTTAGCAAAACTAGATGTACTATATATTCTAAACTAACATGAGATCAGAAATATAAAAGTTCAGTTACAAGGCTTATCCCTGTATAGCTTTCTAGCTCAACATAGGTTCATTCTCTTGTTTCTTATCTTGTTTACTCATGGAGTCATGTCTTATCTATAACATTTTAAAAAGTATAACTATTTTACAAAGAAAAAAAAAAGCTTCTGATTAAGCCCAGAAAGCAATGAACCACAGCTATCTTTCAAGGTTATTTTGGCCTTTGCAAATAAAAATGCAGCATCTGCCAAAGGATTCAGACACAATATTAAGTTTAGGTTATTTTCAGTAATGGACTATTACCACCACCACTTTTCTTACATTATGCTTTCTATTTTTATGTAAGAAGTCTTGAAGTTCCCTTCTAAATATTTTAACAAAAATACACTTAATTTTAGTAACAAAAAAAAAATGTGTCAATATAAAAGCACTTATAAAGTAACCCTATGCTTATTCTCAAGTTTTCAAAATTGTTTTAGGTATCTACATATGTAAATAAACATAATTTATTCTAATTAGTATCAAGTAGAATAAAATCCAATTTCTTAAGTTGTGCTTACTTTTCTTTGATGGTATCCTCCATTTCTTTGAATTTCTTTGACAAATTATTTGTTTTTTCAAAAACCAGAGCCTTATCACCTGGCAGGCCATGGTTGGATATCTCCTTCAAGAGACTCTGCAAAACTTCAAGATCTTTCTTGTGTTCTAATAATTCAGAAGTTGATTCCTACAAAGCATTTAGATATTTAATCAGTATAAGATGTTGCTAGATCTTCAAATGGCATTTTATCAAGAGGTGGGTATGTGACCAGAATCTCACATAAGAATAATCCTGCCTATGGTCATTACTCCAAATATAAATAAACATGCAGGCAGGCTATTCAAAAGAGAACACAGTAAACTTCATTTAATTTAAAAATGCACTCTTCACATTCTGTTTCTTTGTGAGTTCTGGCACCTAAGATACTTATATCATCTGTGGTCTTTGGAAAGTATATGTATATGAGATGTGTCCATTTCTAATCAATGAGCAAAGGCTTCAAGAAGTTGAGGTTTGCGATTTTCAAAGGAGGAAAGTGTAGACCTTTACTAACCCATCAGCAATTAAAACGATGACGGCTAATTACAATTTTGGCAGTAAATGTATGAGTTTGTCTTAACTGATAATATGCTTGATCAGACTTGTGACTATTAAGGAAGATATACCTGCATATACTGAGACAATTCAGTAACATCTTTTCCTGGCACATCTGCCTCAGTAAGAGCCTGAGTTTTTGTCTCTAAAAATGTCTGAAGCTTTTCTGAGAGGTTCTCAAACAGTTCTACTTTGGTTTTTAGCTCCTCCATTTTGGCAAGTTTTTGTTTGTGTTTATGACTTGCTTCTGAAAACCGAACAGACAAGTCCTTCATTTTGGCTTGCAGTGAGGATGCGGTGGATGGGTCTGTTGTTTCCATAAACTTCTTCACTTTTTCATTCATGGCATTTATACTGCTCTGACGACTTGCAATATCCTGTTCCAACATCTGAAATGAACCAAATATTGCAAATGTTTTATAATGATGTTTACAAATAATGCCCCAGAGTTTTAACGAATCACTATTCATAACAACAAGCTTGAACAACCTGTGACTAAGGAAAGTTAATGGCTGGGACTGACTGACAAGTTTGATCTGTCCCTTGAGGAATCCCATCCCAAATCTCTTCAAGGGAGAGTGAAGAACAGCTGGCTGGTTGCCTGAGCGAGGCAGGAGGTGGCTGCTACCCAGCAACTCCTGGGATCTAATGGAGTCTGGGGATTATCCATGGTCCTAATTTTTAAAAGGCTAGACAACAACAAGATTGATCAGATTAACCTCGTGCAGCTGGCTGAAGCAAGGATAAACAAGATAGGACTAATGTATGTGTAAACCCTCTGTAGTGAATATTATTCATGAAAAAAACATACAGAGCTCTTTCCATACTTCATCAGAGAAAAACCATTTTATACATTTGCCTTTGTGCAAGCACTGCTTTCCACAGTTATATTCAGAAAACGTCTCTTTTTCTATATTCTTAAATTTATCTTAAATCTACCTATCCTTGGAGCTTATTAAACTCTTCTTTTTTAATCTAGAAGTGAGATTATTTTTCTATTTAATATGTCACTTACAATGTTTTTACTGATGATATCCTGAAGAGCAGCAGAGTTTAAGGGCACTTGACCTTGTTCTTTCAGAGAGCTTTCCACACCTCCCATCCAGTCCAGCATTTCATCCAGGCCATCCTGCACACTCAGTGAGCGGGTCAGGGTTATCTGGAGTTTTTCATTTCTCTCATTAACGGACTTGGATAGATCATCGTATCTCCCAACAATATCATCTAGTCCAAAAACATCAGAAAATGTTAAGCAAAGTTATCTTTACCCTATTGCTTTTAAAACACACACTAAGGGGAATCCTAAAATTTCTACACCAAAATTGGAAAAAGAAAAAAGTGTAAATGATAAATTCATAATGCATATTCAGAGCATCATCTAAAATCTTAAAAAAGAAAGAAAAGACTACAATGGAAAATGAAAAATATATATATCTGTTTAAAAATAGTTAATATGTATATCATCTGCATTTAAAAGGAGATTTTTGGATACATAAACATTTGAATTATCCAAGAGAGATGAAAGCAGTTCAAACAGCAAAACCTTGGAGTAAATCCCAGTTCCCAATCTGACATTTTAAATTAGCCATACTTATTGATAACTGTATGGGGGCAGGGGGACAAGTTGACAGTCATGCACAGATATTCTTAGGAAACAAAACACAGTCATAAAGAATTGTCAAGATTTAACCCTTACATATAAAAATTCTCTCTTTTTCTCTCTCTGGTATAAATTAAGCTTTTGTCATCCTTCACATCCTAAACAAAGTACTCAAATGCACAAAAATTCACAAATGCGTATGTGTTGAGAAAATATACAACAATGAAAATCCACTTAAAATAGGAAAGGCTGAGGTTATAGTTTTAAAACAAACAGAATTTATGTCTAATAGCAGAGGAAAAGGAAAAATTAACAAGATT